TCGTTTATAAGGGCCAAGTCATGGAATCAACTTAAACGACCATTGACAGATAACTCAATAAAAAAATTGTGGTTTATACCCTCAGTGGAATACTACTAAGCTATTAAAACAGATGAGCTGTTGTCTTTTTCAACAACATGGATGGATTCGAGGGGATTATGGGAAGTGAAATGAGTCAGAAAGTGGAAGACAATTATGGAATGGCTTCTCATATGTGGAATATAGGTAACCAAACTAACAAGTCACGACAAAAAATAACTTAGACTCTATGAAAACTACAGTAGTTACCAGAGAGGGAGAGGGCGGGAGGGATAGGTAGGAGTAGAGAATGTCCACGGGTTATCGGGAAGGGCACTGGAACATCAGTGGCGGGTGAGGTGAGACTCACACACTAAAGGTGAAGAGGCACTGTTGAAACTCACAATTTTGTAATCAATGGTAGATCGATAAAATTTTATTAAAAAAGACATCATGATAAAGTCAGTTTGATTCTGTTGCTAGGGAGAATTCTCATGATCTCACCTCAATACAATCTTTTAAAGCAAGAGGCTGTCAGAGAATTACAGTCCTAGTGGGGTGATGACAGAGAATCAGAAGAGGTACCAGGAGCCTAGGGCTTTTCTGAGGGGTAACAAGAGGACTGGAACCAGCGAGGAAGGTGCTTGCTCTGGGTCAGGACCCTGGCTCTGAGGGACTGGCCGTGAGTGGGTCTGAAGCAGAAGTTCGTGGCAGGAGGGTATCGTGGCTAACACCTGACACCAGAATCTGACTGCTGGGGGCCCAGCACCTCCTCACTTACATGCTGAGTGATACATAAATGCTCAGTGCCTCAGCTTCCCCATCTTTAAAACAGACCTTTCAGTACTATCTTCCTCTTAGCATTGCTGAGATGAGGTTAGATTGAATGGCTCATTACCAGTCTGGAGCATGCTAAGTCTTCCATCAATGGTAACTGCTTTATTAGCAGCGGTAGCGATCCTTGTGAAACAGCTGATTAGGGAAAGTAAGCTACAGGGAGGGAAGTTTTGCCTCTTGGAATTGGCATGTTGCTTGGCAATCTCTACGATCCTCAAATGGTCTTGTCTGCCTTCCAAGAAAATCGAACAACAGGTGCCTGGGTTGTCTTAACTTATTCCAGTCCCAAGACAGTCTGGTTTGGTTTTAGACCTCCTGGAGCAGGCTTAACATCGACCGTGGCCAGCATTTACATGAAAGCTTCCACCTCCAATGACGGCCTACTCCACTCAATGCTGCCTGCAATCAATGAGAGCTACATGAATGTTCTTTATTCCTTGGGGGACCTGTAACAGCACAGCTTGCAGCTGCTCATCAGAGGTGGAAAGTGTTGGTTCTAGAAATACACTGGCGGCTTTTCTTGCTTTGTGAAGTGCTGACTTCTGAGCTACAGGCAAGGCTCTGGGAGTGCACAGGATTGCCATCTGATAGATACCCAGGAGCCCAGGGGTCTGGGTGGGCAGGGGAATGGAGAGAAGTAGGAGCATTTACCCTAATTTTCTGGGGGGGATGGATGGAACCTAGGAGAAAAAGACAGGTCACTTTGGTAATCTAGCTGCGTCCATCCTGAAAGTGGGAATCAAGACCCACTGTGACCTTGGATTCTGACATACCTCCATGGGGGTTATTTCAGTTCTTGGTGACTTAGGAGGGAGTCTCCACACACACTTCCTCTTGTCTAAATGGGCACTTGACTTGCTTTCCTGAATCCTGTTTTAAGGAGGGAGCTGACAGATGAACTTGCAACCCCCCAAAGATAAGAAGAGTTGTTCATAATAAGCAATGCATGTGCATTTATATAATGAATGCCTGCAGGGACTGAACCTGTTCAGGATTAGCCACAGGGAGATATACTAGCTATTTTCAAACATTTGAAGTCTATGATAATAGCCTTTTCTGAGTTTCCCAGAAGCCGTTACTGAGGTTTAGTAGAAGAAAGAGCTTCCTAACCTAACTATGCAGTGATGATTTATCTCAGAAAACATCAGCAAATGAGGCCATGAGCTCTGTCAGAGAATGCAGGCAGGGGGTCTGGGGGTGGGGGCCAGGGGCTGTGCTTGGAGCCCTGAGGTTCCTTTCAGTTTAGACATTTTGGAACTAAAACTCAGGGAGGTACCCTTCCAATGTGACCCCCAGAGGACATGGGACTGGGCTTCAGGGGATGATTTCTAGGCCCAGTGATGCTTGTCCTCGCTACCTTTTTGCAGGGAAATGCTGAAGCCTAACTTTTTTTACTCCTAATGTTGGGTGTCTGCCCAAATGAGTAAGTTCAGAAAATCACCCTGGAGTACAGGGTCCATACTGGCTGGGCAAGTTGGCTGAGAGGGCTGGAAAGTTCCTGGTCACAGGAAGACAACCAAGCACAGGTGCCCACGCTATTGCCAGTAGCCCCATGACAGGTGGCTGAAAGGAACTACCTAAGACCCCTTCCTGTGGCGGGTGGCTTGGCTCTGATGCACCAACTGTCTGAGAGACGGGAGAGAGAGCAGAAAAAACAACCTCTTACAAAAAGCCTTTGCGGCAAAGTAGAGGAAATCACTCAGACTGCAAGGGTATTCTAATCAGAGTCTTCTTATCAGAGTGTCTCCAGTCTAACAAGGAGAAATCCAATCTACAGCGGCCACACGCTAAATTAGATCTAATCAGGACCTGCTTCCCAACTGCTCAACAGCAGGTCAAAATCCAATGACAGCTCCTGTTGCTGGTTCTTTTTGGTAAGTGAGCTCGCCTTAGTGGCAACGGGTTTCCAGAGAAGGGGGGGTTGGGTGCTTTGTCTTAACTCAGCTATTTAATTCCCTCCTCTCAAAACAGTGATGATAAACTGAGTTGCTTTCCTGCTCTAAGCAAAGTTCCCTAGCAGAAGCTCACGGCAAGGCCACCGTCAGCTTGGAGCAGGGGTACATTTCCGTCTTAAAAAGCTTGCACTATTGGCCCTCCCTGGTGGCACAGCGGGTTGAAGCACAGCACTAAGAAGCTGAAGCCACTTCCGCCTGAGTTAAATCCCCGCATGCCCCGGAGGAGATCCACATGGCGTGGCAGACCTCTCCTGACCCGCTCACCGCTCCCCTCAGCAGTGTACTTCGTTGATCTGCCTGTTCTGCTCCCCACTCTGTCTCTGGTGAATCCTCTCACCCTCCGCATCTCTGGCCTGTACCCCAGTTCTGTATGCAGAAATAAATAAATCTTAAAAAAAAAAAAAGCTTGCACTACTAACTCACTGCTACAAGTCCCATACCTTGCTCGGCACCTCGCCCTGTTTCTCCTGCATGCTTGTGAGCAGATTGTAAGAGGATATTCACTCTGCCCTGGGGGACATAACACCCTCCAAACTACCTCAAGGCTGATCCCATTGTTACCCTTCTTTCAAGGGATTAATAGCTACAGTTAACTAGCCTTATGGCTGCAGTTATAACTTATAGCTTCTTTGCTACAAGCAAAGGACACCATCTGTGAAACACCCAGCTCCCTGCAGAGCCCTGGCATGCCATGCTAACAAATAGCCTTAGAGGGCCATTGAGGGCTGGGGCCTTTGAACACAAATATACCCACACAGAGACAGACATCGAGACAAGTGGGAAGGAGATGCAGAGAAAAAGACACAGGATTTTCTTTCTCCCCCTTTCAGTTTCATCAAAACAAGCCTACCTATTACTAAGTGGGTGCGCTGCTGTAAACTAGCTGGGCAACGTGGCACTGTGTGACTCATTTCACTGCACAGCCCAAGGAGCATCTGCCCAGGGATGAGTGCTATGGGAGATGTGCAAGGCAGGGCGTAAAGATGTGAGAAGTGAATGGCTGGAGGAAAAGCCTCACCTCCTCTTTCTTGATACACCCTTGGGTGTCACCCTGTGCAATCTGTTGTCAACCTTTCCTTCTCATCCTCTCACCCATTCGGAGACCAGGCTTGACTGCCTGGTCTGCAAACTCACTGCAGTTTTGCTTAACTGCACAAGGGCAGCAGGGAGGCTCCAAGCCCCATCCTCACTGCCTGTCACTGCAGGTGTGTTTACAAAGACACACACAAACCCGCCTGTCCTCAGATTCATACCTCGGTGGGTCTTCTAAAGCCACAGGACCATGTAAGCTCCACATCAGTTATCACACCGATTTTGCTGTGTGACTGAGGGAAAATTATGTACCTCCCTGAGATTTGGTGTTCTCCATTGCTCACAGGGTACTGAAGATCAGTTTCTGACACCAACAGGAGTCGTGATGGTCACCAAGCAGATGGGAGCAAGCACGTGCACCCCTCCACCCCCAAACCACAGTGCATGCATGTAGCTGCGAAGACCACTGAACTGGCAGAAATAATTCTCCATCGTAAAATCTCAAAATACAGAATGAACTAAATTCCTTTCCTTGCCTCTCTACGTCAGAGTTCAATTATCTTCTTCAAACATTTAAGTGCAAATGACCAGAATGAAATAAATGCAAATAAATAATCCTAGAGCCTTAAATTCGAGGCAACAAATTTTCCTTTCAATTAAATAAACACTTCCCCCCTCAGCCACATCTTACCTAGGTTGTCGTATCAGTGACTGATTATGCTCTTCTCTAATTATTTCATTTCCCCACCCTACCATTCTTCAAGGTCCCCTGTCTATGAGGAGCTCTGTTTCAGCTATAGTACTGGAGTAGATTGTGTGCATATTTCAGCTCCATGCCTAGCACAGCCCCTGCAAGGCGCTTTCTTTTGTCAGGTTCATGCTTACAGAATTTCTAGCCTCCAAAACTGTGGCTAGTGACTGGCCAGGCACCTGGGTTGTTATCAGTTAGTACACTATTCACATCGACCTTGGCCTCTCTCTGCCAACTCCCTGGTTCTCCCTCTCCCAAAAAGAGGTTGATGGAAGCGGGGGTAGACAGTTCCGAATGTTTTCCCCTTGGCATATATGAAGATGAAGGAAGACCCAACAAAGCGCAGCTCCGAGTTTGCAGGGGAGCACCTGCAAGCAGCCCCAGAGACACAAACAGCAGCCACTCACAGAAGCTGTAGAGACACCAGCCCGTCGAACAGTCCCTTGGCGATCTCAGTGATCTTGTTCCCATAGAGCACCCTGAAAAAGTAAAGAGTGCCGTCAGCATGGATGTTACCCGCTCATGTGCCAGGCCACTCTTTGGCCAGCTCCAGGAAGCGGAGACTCTCTGAAGGTCTCCTCCTTGCCTGCCTTCTCCCTTCTCACCATTGAGACAGCAGGCCAGTGGTATCAGGGGTTGGAGGGAGAGGCTGGCCGGCAGGCCAAGAGAAATGGGCTCCATTTTTTCCCTCCCGGCGGCCCAGCTCAATAAATAATCCACAATAGGAAGAAGCAGTCCCTTTGTGGTGTCTCCCTGAGCTGCTAAGATGACTCACACTCCGGCAATAAATAAGATGTGTGGAGAGCTGGCCGGGCCGAGTCTTCTTGTCTTCAATGGGTATTGATCAGGCTGAGTCCTGCCTATAGAACGTTTCCTTTTTATATCCCTTTGCACCCTAGGAATTCCTGAGCTGAGTCCTTCAATCATCCATCTAGACAGGGCTTTTGGGTATCTGGGGCCCAATCCAGATGCCCAGAGTCAAGGACTAGCTCTCAGGAAAAGCTGGGCGTGGGGAACTATTATCTGGGCGTGGTGGCAGCTTTGAGAGCCCAGGTCCTTCTTCCTGTGCTTTGAGCTCCAGGAACTCCTGGTTCTTTCATCCTTTTTCTCTTTCATGTCCCCAGTGGGCTCTCTCATCTCCCATTCATGGGTCAGGCTCTGGTGTCTTACAGCCCTGGGGAAGGAGCCATGGGGCTGGCCTCTGCCCTGGGGTGGGGCTGGCCCTTGCCCCTGGGGTGGGGCTGGCCCTCAGCCTAAGCACTGAAGATGCTGCTGGCCTCTTTCTGTCTCCTCCAGGGCACAGACTAGTCTCTCAGGCCGAGCCACCTCTGAGAGGGAGCTAACTGGTCTTCGGACCATTTGGCTTTTCTTTTTGAGTTCCTCTTGAGCCCTGAAAGGCAATGAATTGCCCTAATTCCTACTGCAAGTTCAGGTCATAGTGCATCTTAGAGGAGGCAAAAATAACAGGACCAGGAAGTGGTAAATGGGAGAGGTAATAACCCCCCAACCCCACTCCCACCCCCGCCATTCCAGATGCCACCAGCACTGAAGAGTGAGCTTCTTGCTCAGCCTGTGAGTGTGTTTCAAGAAATTAATGACTAAATAAAAATCAGCATGATGGCTCAGGCTCACAGTTGTAATTCATATTAATTTCCCAGAGCTCACTGTGCCAAATATGGTAATGCCACTATCTGATGGTCATGGCTGCTGTCAGATCTTCCAGTGGAGCAGAAGCTGGAGGGACAGAGTGGGGCCGAGACAGGGCAGGGTGCTGGCCACACTCATCACATCGCCTTATGGGAGCCTCCAGCAGGCTGAACTGGCCTGTGCTTCTCCCTTGGGGCACCTGGATGGAGAGGACCCTGCCTTCCCCTCAGAACACCTTCCTGGCCACCTTTCAGGTTTGAGCTCAAATAGCTCTTCCTTGGGAAATTTCTTCTGAATATGTTGATGGTTTTCATCACCTATAACCCTATTTTTAATTTCTTCACAGCACTTTTCTCAATACCAGAGTATTAAACTGATCACTGATTTATAATTTTCTGTGCCCATCCTCCAGCCCCTCTGAATGTCAGCTCCACAAGCATGGTGACATTACATGGCTTGCTAAAGACTGGGATTCTGAGCTGAAAACCCAGCAGGGTCCAGTATAATCAGAATTTGTTGAATGAATGCGATTTTCCTGCCTTTACCTTGGCCATCTCTGGGTTTGGGTTAGGTGTGTTCGTGTTCAATGCTAAGCTCCATGAGGCCAAAGGTCTTGTCTATCTGGTTCTTAGTGCTTAGAGTGCTGATCAGTACACAGCAGGTGTCTACTGAGGGAATACTGAGCCAATAAGTGCATAGATGAGGTGAGAGGCTCTTCATTTTAACAATGCCCAATATTAATTCAGAATCGGCTAGTGGTATGGCGATTTCATGGTTAGTAGTCAGACTCTGAATTTCCTTTTTGATGGGACCAGAAGCATTTCACTGTCCTCACACTGCTCCCAGGTCCCAAAAGAGGGGCGCCAGACAATGGGGACAGGCGGGTGGGGGCAGGAACGGGAACCTGATGATAGACAGCTGCTCCCCCTTTTCCTCTGTGATCTTCAGCACAATAAGCAGACACTAATCTCACGTACAACCCTGCCTTTGATATCCCAGCCAGATGTTCTATTCGACAAATGAAACTAATTTACTCTTCAGGCAGCAGGCTACAGCTGAATGGAGAGACTTCCCAGTCTTCACTTCTTTCCCAGGGGGATGGACCAGGTGGAGGAAAACGTATATTTGGTTACCTGTGCCCACACACAGCCAGCAAACAGGCTGCATAGAAAAGCAACGCCCAGGCAGGATGCCACTGAGCTGAGCATCTTCGTTCTTGCAAACAAGTGATATAAATAATATCAACTAATGATACCTTAAGTATAACTTAAATTTTTCTCATTATCTCAGGAGTTTGGGCAATCAGATTGCCTGGATCCAAAGCTTGTCTATCAGCTGTAACCAGTGACTCTGGAAAAGTTAAGAGTAAATTACTTTACAGGAGTTGGGTGTATGTGTGTGCATATAGGTGACCTTGTGTGTGCCATAACTATGTTCTAGATACTGCTTAAGGGGTCAGAGGTTCAACCAGGGCCATGATTGGTAAGACAGATAAACGCTTCCTATCTGTGTGGGGCTTAGACAAGCCAATTTCTTCAAGTGGAAAAGACAGGTGAAGAGGGATTATCCACTCGAGGTTGTTACGAGGATGAAAGCGTCAAGGCTCCCACATGTATGTGCCCCTCTCCGTAGTCAGTGAGCAGTGTGTATGGCCAGAGCATGTGACCACTCAAACATACTTGTGGGATGTGTTGCAGGCAGGGGAGGTACCACGGTCCCTTTCTGCCTCTGAGGAACACACATAGAACTCAAGTGACGTTCATTACAACACATGTAATGTGTGTCCCTGATGGACTCAGGACAAAGTCCATGCTTTCCCGTTCCTCTAAGTCTCTGAGCTCCTGGTGAGCCCAGAGGCTGCCCTCCAGTTTCAAAAACAGAGAAAGAGGTGGGCTTATAGGATGGGGCTGAGATTTTCTCAAAACAATGACTAGGAGGTTGGAGGTTTGTAGAAAAAGTCTTAAAATCAGGGGAAGAAAATTAGCTCCTCCCTTGACAAGGCCAAAGAAATGGGGCAAAAATGGGCTTGTCGATAATAAACATACTATGATTTTCTCTCTCCCTCTCCCCCGAGAGCCCTGCCAAGGCGTGGGGTGGGAGGGGGTGTGTGGTTAGAGCAGAAGATGCATGTGAATTAGAAGCCAATAACTGGGAAGGCTGCTGGGCACTTAATCAATAAAAATAATGCATTTGGGTTGTAGAAATATTCCCCAAGATCAATTTCCCCTGAAGAAATATTTGTTGCTTTTACCAGGTTGCCACAAGTGTGTGAGGGAACATAAAGCCTTGATAAACACCTCCTGAGAAATACGGATGCCTCCCCCCACCACCCCGCCTTCCCCATGCCATTGGGCTTCCCACTTACAGTGATGTGAGTGACTTCAGCCCCTGGAAGGCATCTGGAGCGATGTCCGATATCTGGTTCTTGCTGATATCTCTGAAAACAGTAAAGGGGGAGACTGAGCACAGGGCTCAGAGGTGTGACACGGCCCCTCCCATGTGCCAGCCCTGTGTTCCAGGTATGCAAAATGCTGAGACTGAGCCACCCCATTAATTTAGTTATTCATCGCGTGAGAGCAGAGGCCCAAAGACCATTCAGTTCAACTGCCTGGTGATAAAACACACTATATTCCTATCACTCTTCCTGGCTTCCAAAGAACACTCACCTGCTGTAACTTGACTTTGATATATGGCTGTGCACATGTGCACCTTCACTTTGTAGGCCAATTAGGGCTCTGTCCGAGGTCGCATGAGCAAGCAAAGAGAACTGAAATGAAGCAGGCCCCTGTTCCACCCAGGCACAGGCCAGATGCATCCTTTTCTTGCCATGTGCCTCAGCCAGTACTTATTTTTCCCTCCAGAAGTCCCAAGTTGTTTCACCTCCCTGCCTTGCAAGAGCAGTGGCTTCAGTGTCTGATTCAGTGCACTGTCCAGCCACGTGATGTATAAGTGCAGTCGCTTTAGAGACAAGGATGTGTCGGTGGCAGTGCTCCTCAGACAAGTAGCCCAGCGCCGTGATGTCCAGAGTTTTGGGGTAACACAAGAGAGGGGTGTGCTGTGTGCTCGAACCCTCAAACTCAGAGGCAGTTCACCTACCCTCATGGTGCCCTCCCCTCCCCCTCACCAGGGCTGCCCCCCCACCCCCCAGCACTGCAGTGCCTTCCTGGTGCTGGCTTCCTGTTGTTGCCAAGGGCATGTTAAAGAGAGGCAGCCTTCCTCCCAGGGCCACTGGCTGGGGCGCGGCCTTTGGTCCTGTCACTGGAAGGGGAGATGCTCCGATTTCTAGCAACAGCTCTTTTAAATCAAGTAAATCAATGGGTCTTTGCTTCAGTGGAGAAGAGAGGGCACTGGGGTGGTGGCAGGTCAACAAGAGACTATCGAGAAGAAAGTCCATCTAAGCGATTCCCAGGCAATTGCTTCCAGCGAGGCCAGACACCTGGCCCGTCTCTGAAGCACATCCTCCACCTGTTTCTCTCCTCCTTCTAAGAGCCTTCAAAAGGGCAATGGGACCATGTTTGCCAGTGCCTCTGCATGCTTCCCTCCCTGTTTCCAAAGCCTGTAAATTGAAAGATACTTCACAGGTTAAGACTTCTTAGGCACCGCTGCCAGGCTCAGCCCTTCAGCCGGTGAGATGGCCTCTAGCAAATCTGAGATTGTGCTCTCAGACTCACTAGTTTACAAAGGGTTTTTCTTTAGCACCTCTATTTTCGCCTAAGGGTCTTAACAAACAAATGCCTTGGATTATCCTAATCTTGCTGGCCCTAGAGTGACTGCTCAGCCAAGTATTTGAGGCGAGTGCCCAGGGTCTGTGTTCAGATCACACTAGTGGGAACACTGGCCCTTTCTGCTTCCTACTGGTGGGCTGTCCCTTTAAGGTATTTAGATGTCTAACATGCAAGAGCAAGCTTTCTGTGAGCTTTACCCTGACAAATTGGTTTCCGGGCCACAAATGGCCTTCAGACCTGCCACTGGCTATAACATGAAGGGTTCTGGAGATATGGGGGTGGGGCTAGGTAGGGAGGGGGGGGCGGCATGGAAATTGGAGAAGCTGGGAACTGATCCTGGTGGTTACCTGGTCTTAACTCTAAATTTTGCAAGAAGGAAACAGCAGGTTTGAGAGGTGAGGGACCTGGAGTCACGAGGGGCTGGACAGCTATTTAAACACAGAGCTGGCCTCTCAAACTCCTTCTATTTCACTGCGCTGGCTGCAGTGACACTGGGAAGGAAGACAGGCCGGGAAAGGCTGCCTGCCTCCCCCTGGACATGCTTGCCCTCTCCCAGGCCATCAGGTAGTACCAGAGTGCCCAGAGGAGGTCTGGGCACTCGAGTGGCTCTTGACTAGGGGGTCTTATACTTCCTGGGATGTTTATTAGAACACATGCCCAGAGAGCCTGATCTTTTGTTTGGAGAATTAGGGTTGAAGCTGTCATGCAACACATCTCCAAGGGAGCCCCAGGCAGATGGTCCCCAGGTCACTCTAAGTCAGAGTGTTTCAGAATCTGGTTGATGTCAGATCCACCCCTGTCCCCTGGGGCTTATTAACCAGACAACTGAGAGGCAGATGGCCCTTGCAGGCTGTTCAAACAGAGATGGCATATTCAAGGGCTTATAGGGCTTAGCAACGATGACGAGCCTGAGAGTGTATGAAGCCCTGGAACTGGAGGAAAACTGCTCTGAGAGCAGGTCCACGAAGAGTTTAACACTCTCATATGCCGGACAACAAAGGGTGGGCCCCTGAGGGTCATGCCGTCAGTTAACTGGCCTGTTGTAAGATCAAGGGGTGCTCTCAACGTCTCCCCTCCAAATTGCTTCTTTACCTTCAAACTTGTTTTCACTTAGCAGCGTTTTCTGTTTTATACCAACCTGGGCACTAGAAATAGGGACAAAGTGATTCATTTAGGGAGAATTTTTGTTTTCTTTGCAATAACAGCAGGATGTTGTTCAATCATAATAGAGAACTTCTTCTTACTAGAGATAAACTGGTCATGGACACCCAGGAAGAATTCATGTTGAGAGCCTTAAAATCCATTCTTAAGCAGGGACCCTACTTCTCCTAAGTCATCATACTTCAGTCTGGGTTTCTGAAGTTAGTGGCAACATTTTAAAATGGACTTTCTTCACCATCACCATCCCCTTGGGGGGAAGGGCATCATAATAAATATCAATAGCGTCAGGAATGATCAAAAATTAAATGCATTTTCCAGGTCGTGACTAAGGTCTTATGAATTTTGAATGTACAGATCACGGCAACTCCAATAGGATGGAAAAAGGACAGTAAAACACAGCCACGCTCTAAATTACCTGGACTTCACAAAAAAATGAGGGCAGTAACTTAAATCATGCAAGAGCTATAGGTTGGGGCAGGGACTGGACTTGTCATTTTTCATTGAAATTACTATCTGGCTGCATAATCAAGCTGGGTTTTAAAAATGAATTGGGGGGGGTGGCTATGGAGAGTGAGCTGGGGAAGCAGGGAGAACAGGAGATTAATGGTCCAAGGTTTTAAATATTAAGGCCCATATTTATACAGCTCCTCCAGCAGGAAGGCTGCCAAGGGGAGGCAAGAAGGACGAGCTCTGGGCTGGCTTGCTTTGCTGGGCTCCACTTCTGGAACTGTACCAGAAGAAAATTGTGTTTGGTTTGGATTTCCAGGGAGATGGGAAGCTGGCTTCCTGAGATCGGAGGGCAAAGCCTACCAATGCCACTGTTTCACAGGGATGTTTATTCTTAACATAAAAGGAGTCAGAAGACACTTAACCTCTTTAATGGGGGCCCTCCTGCTCAAGGGAAGTCAATGAATCAAGATGGATCCACAGATAACTCTACCTCTGCTTTCTCTCTCTTTTCTCGGTGGGGGGCCAGACAGAGTAAGTGAGTGGAATGCAACAGCATGCTGGTTATTGGGCTGTAATGGATGAATTTTTAGCCTGGGAAAGGCATAGCAATCTCTGGCCAGATTCTTAACCTCTATGATAGGAGGTACTACGTAGGGCAATGGTGGGCCACCTCTGAACTCCACCAGCCTTCTGTGAGGGTCCAGCCCAGACTCACAGAGCCGTGCTCAGAGTGGGGAGGAAGTGGCCACAGTGACAGGACTGAGGGTGCTGATACTGCCCACAGTGTCCGGGGAATGCTGTAGCAGCGTCGGTCTCACTGGATATTGGTGGCTAAGATGTAGTGGTGGTGATGGTACTGGTCGCTGTGGTAATGGGTGTTGGAGATGATCATGAGCAAATCACATGTTGTGAGCAGGAATCTTCCAAGGCTCCTAATCTCACTTAGAAAGAAGACAAAGTCCTTACTATGGTCTGAAGGGCCCATGGAACTCTTCCTACCTGGTTCCCACCTAGCTCTCCAACATGCTTCCTACTGCCTCACCTCACCCACCCTCCGTGTCCTGCAGTCTAAGCTTCTAGGGTATTCCCATGCTCTTCCTTGACTCACTCCCCCCTCTCTCTATTCACCTGCATGGAGAGACTGTCATAGGCAAACACACCTAAAAGACCATCCACACTTTATGCCCTTCGCTTCCTGGGTCTTATTCTAACACTTCTCAATATTCTCTCACTATAATTTATAAGAGTAGATTACATTTCACTTCATAGCTCTAGCCACAGAGCCCAGAGCATCCGTGTTCCTACACACAATGACCTTTCACTAAGTATTTGTTAAAATGTGTGCATGGGGTAGGCGATGTAAGCAACGTGTTGGAGAATAACAGAGATCACTGTCACACCTCTGCTGAAGCCCCTGTTTGAGGCCCACAACCCCAAACCAAGGGACAATAAAAATGGTGGTGTGGGTTTTTAAGGACAACTCAGATCTCCTCCCACCCAGATCACTGGACCTCACTCTATCAGGGAAGCCCTTAGTTGTGCGGTTCCTTGATCCCCCACACCTCACCTTCTACAAGCAACACTTCTGCGCCTCACCACCCTATTTTAGGAGACCACTCCCAGTTCAATGAGGAGGAGGAAGGGAGGGTGAGGGAGCTGCCTATTACCCCATCTGAAATCACCCTCTCCCCATCTGAAATCATCTGGGCTCATTTCTCCTTAGGGGAAACTCACATTCGTTTCAGTTTCTTGTACTGGGTGAAGGCTCCAGCAGGGATGGATTTGATGGAGTTCTGTTCCAGGCGTCTGGGAAATAGAGCAGAGGAGAGTCAATTAAACATTGGTTGGCAGTGTCGTGCATGAGGATAGGGTCTCCTCTAGCACACATTATTGGCTGAAGATACAGCAAACACTGCAAAAGCCAGAGAGTCCACTTTTCGGCGGGTATGGATCAACCACTCCAGAGTCTAACGCTCCCCTGGAGAGAGCCAGAAAAGATGATTTCTCCATGAGGATTTTTGGTGCTTGCTTTTTATAAGCTGCCTTTGTAGTTTTTTTTTTCAGAAAAAACGCTTTAGGAAGTAACCAAATGGTGAGCTGAAAAAGCCAAAGGGATAAAGGGAAGGAAAAGTAAAAGGAGAGATCTAACATATAACATGATCTTAGTATCATATTATATTGTTTATTGCATATCAGATACTTGACATTTGCTGAGTATCCATCTACATACTCTCATCAGATCCCCCCAAAATGGTAATAACTATGTGAGGTGACAGATGTTAATTTGACTGTAGTAATCACTTCACAATGTCTATGTATAGCAAAAACAACTGTATATTTTAAGCATACACATTTTTATTTGTCAATTTTGTCAACTGATGTAAATCAATGAAGCTGGGAATACATTAAAAACAAAGAAAAAAAGAGTAAAAAGAGATGGGACATGCCTAGCAGAGCCTAGCTGTCACAGAACCGTGTCACCATAAAAAATTTCTCCACACTGCCCATGGGATGCAATGTGGGCAGAAATGACAATGGCTCCCCTATTTCTGGGCTTTTCCATGGACTTTTCTGATATGTGGGGAAAGAGCCCTCATGCCTTTACCTCCCAGTCTGACATTCATCAGAGTGTCTCCTTGACATCCTGGAGACCCCAGGACCCCGACCGGACCATCCCCTGGGCTTTACCAACTTAGGGACTTTTCTGAAATGCTGTTTCCTATTACTCTGGCAAGAACAAGAGAAACTGCAAGCCCAGGGCAGACTCCTGGCAGAGAAGGGACTGTGGGGAGGGAGCAAACACACTTCATTCTTTATTCTTTCATCTCCCAAATGACTTTCCATCCCCAAGACCAGGTGTGGTGGGAAATAGGCCTGAGTGGGAGGCGGGGCCTCTATTAGAAGTGATGGATGAGGCCCCAGGCGCGGCAGAGGACTCAGCCTCTCATCCTCATCCATCTCCCTTTCCTCCAAGGTCCGGATCTTTTCATCACCTCCTTATTTGGCATGGATACTCCCCAAACCCTCTGCTGCGAAGACACAAGAATAGGTGTGCTCCAGGAGAGAGGGGAGGGGGAGCCGCGGAGCAGACAGGAGGCTACATCTAGCTAGCGGATACACATTTCTGGCTGGGATGAACCCATTCATCTTGAAGAGTAATTCCTGCTGCAGAGTGAGGGAGACAGTCGTATTAATTTGTGCCTCGCGATCTCATCTTCATTGGGGGAACAGAGTATTTGTTACTGGGACTGCTAATGGAGCAGTTTGCCAGCAATTTTCCCATTTCAAACAACATCTCAGCTGCTAATGTGGGATGGTTTGTCAGGCGGACCCATAACACAGACAAATCACTCTTCAGGCCAAAGAAAGGGAGGGCTGGGGGGAGAAAGAGAACAGGCAGGGGAGAGAAGAGCGGGAGTATCGGGACGGATCTTTCTGGGCTGCTGGATGAATACAGTCTACAAATGAGCCCGCCACGGTCTGTTAACCGAGTCTTTGTGGCCGGGTGGATGGGGCGGGGAGAGTGTTCTGTGCTGCATGTGGACACAGGCTCACTGAGCAGGGGCAGGCTGGCTCATGGTGAATCACTGGGCCTCATACACTGGATTAGATACTGCCACCCAGGGCGGCAGCAGACGCTGGGCAAGCTGCTGTGGCTGAAGTTCCAGGACATTCTTGTTTCTAGCTGAGCAGAGTTCAGCGGGGACTTCTCAGCTAAGGCAGCCGCTTCTTCGGGCCCTGGGGCTGCCAGTCAGGTGGCAAAGCTCTCCAGGAATCCTGTGACTCACCTGCCGCTGTGGCAAGGGAGGACAGCAAGATGACATCTCTGTGAACCATGGTCTGTAAAGATGGCAACCCCCTCAGTCTGGGCAATAGCACCCACAGCTGCCAGGTGAAAGCCACGAGCCAGGGCACCTCAGGTCAGTGCCAACCCTGAGGTGAGCTACTGTCTCCGAAGTTCATGATCAATTAACTTTCACTTTAGTGATGGGTACAAGAGGGAGCGATGGGTACATGAGCCCATGTGATAGTGTTTCTCAAAACTGAATAATCTGGTGATGGAGACCAACTCAGACAATCCATCAAAGAAACATATTTTATAGTAACGTAACAAACAAGCAGAGTCTGGTTCACATATGCCTGCCATCTTTTGTGACCCTTGTCCTTGTGATGTAAGCTGTGTTGGTTTCATTTCATGGGTGGGGAAAATAAAACCTAGAGGGGTCAAATAGTCTGTCCCAAGTGACAGATCTATTGAGTGGACAAAGTAAGCTCTCTGCTTCTATCCATTGGACCTGCTGCCTCGCCCTTTTTTGAAAATGAGAAAACTGAGATCCAGAGACTGAAGTGGTTTTTCTCAAAGTCTGCCTCGAAGAGAGGCAGAAGGGATTAAAGCACTTCTGAGATATCATGGAGAAGTCAGTTCAGTAAAAGGGCTGTCGGAGTGGAGAGAAGATGGCAAATTGATAGGAACATAGAGAAGGTGCAAAGAGAGTGCAAAGGTGTGGTTTCTGAACAAAGAACAAAGAATTCCAGTCTGAGCCTATTGAGCCACTGCTGCACGTCCTGGACTCTTAGTCTTGGACAGTCTGGGGGTGGATTTTGTCTTTACTTCTTATGTTCCTGTGGGTACTGGCTGGACAGCTAACCCTTTTCAGAGAGCTGAGGCCATGATTTGATGGGGGTTAACCTGTCCCAGTGGGCATCAGAATTTGTCTGGCGGGATCACTGTGAATACTCAGTGTGTAGGCAAGCCTTGGAGAAATGGTGGGTTTGGCTCCGGAACAGCACTACCAAGAACATACTGCACTCAAGTAAGCAGCAAAAACTCCTGGCATACAAAGGTTATGTCTCCATCGCATTGTAGCTTATTAAGTGTGTAACAGCATAATGCCTAAAAACAATGTACAGACCTTAATTAAATGGGACACGGAGACAAGCAGAGAGTACGTGCTGTTAGAAAAATGACATCGATGGACTTGCTTGATGTGGAGTGGCCACAAACCTTCAATTTGTAAAAACAGCAATTCTGATGAAACATGATAAAGCAAAGTGCAATGAAAGTGCAATTCCTGTGCTTCAAGTTAAGGCAAGAGTAGGGACAGCAATTACAGGAAGGGCTAACAACTACAGTAACAGGTGCTCCTAAGGTAGTTATTGTGCTAAGAGTTTTACACAGTTGGCCTCACTCAATATTGATCCCTCTAAAAGGCAGATCCTATTTATTACCAGCCCACTTTACACAGGAGGAAATGGAGGCCACTCAGGGATGTTAAGTCCTTTGTCCAAATTCACTAAGTCAAGAAGAGTTACAGCTGGGACTCCAGCCCGACCCAACTCATCCAATTCAAAAGCCTGAACTCCAGTCACTGAGTTTTATTGCATGCCATTGGTGCTGAGCCTTATACACTCTGTCATTGGTCATCCTCAGGAAAGTGATTCCTCTCTGTAGGCAGTGAGACTAATGTGTGTGTGTGTACACATGCGCCCCCTGGTAGGTTTTACGCACAGTCCAGACCCATGGCCTGGAACAAGCATGCAAAGGTGTATACTGCAGTGAAAAAAATCCAATGCGAAGGACAAAAAGCATCACAAGCATCAGCAAAACCTGTCTTATGTAGAGATGTGTCTGAAGCCATCAGCTGGCTTAGGTCTCTTTTAACGGGTACATGTATTTTTCTTTGTCTTGCAAACATTCTTCAGGCTGCAAACTGACTTAATAGAACTTCCATCAAAACAAACACACAAGTCAAACATCTGAGCATCCTCCTGTACCAGTAAAAACAATGGGACTATCTGGTGGCGACTTCAGCCATTTATTCTCTGCATTGATCTACCCTGGTTCCTCCGTGTTTCCTTAATTAACTGTCATCTGCAAACATGCAATGGAACGCAGTATGTTTTCTAGCAATCCACAGTCAACACAGTACCAGAGAGACTGGGGGTGGGGTATAGCTGGCGCTGGTGACTTGAAAGAGGTTCTGGAGCTGGGTGGGCATGTTGGTGGTAGTGTGGCCAAGTGTTGGTCATGGCAAACACCTATTTACTGAGATTTCTTCACATGTGAGAGACCAACTTGCTATTTTATTCTTTCAATAATACTATAAAGTGAGTAGTAATATTGATACACCCATTTTGAGGACGAAGAGGCCAATTTATCTAAGCAGAGATTAGACTTGAACCAAGGTTGGTCAGAATCGGATGTCTGGGCACTAAACATCTAGGCTCTACTGCATGTCCCCCACTCCAGGAGCCAGCCCCCCACCCCTTGTGAGAGTGATTGTTTTTACTCTTTCCCATGTGTGTTAGTCTACACTTGACCTGGAACTCTTGTTAGGAAGTCCAGCTACATTTATTCTTTCCCAAAGTCACCCTGGGTAATTTGATCAGAGAACAGAAAACTCAGGAGTCCAGAGGGGCAGCTCTTGATGCTTCTCTCTTTCCAGTTCCCTACAAAGTTATGTTCTGGGCTGACTTCTGGGTCGGACCCATTCTATCCCTCCCTTTCTTTGCCTTTTCTCCTAGTGATGCTGCAGAAGGGCAATGAGTCTTAGACTCACCTACTGAGCTTATATGTTTGGTTGACTGCAGAAATGAAGGATGAGGGCCTGTGTGACATGAGTCATTCCTAACCTGTTTTGCAGAACACCTGGTATTACCTGCAGGAAGCAGAGGCACAGACCTCAAATTAGATTTGTCCAGATGCCACCAAAAGAGAAATTTTTTTCTTAGTCGTCTTAGGAAAAAAAGTATACATGAGAAATAGTATGGGAATCTGAGACTTCACCATTTCATCTTGCTGCATAGGTATACAGGTGCTGAAGTTTTTTCTCTTTGGATTCCACTTAATTGCTAATTTTCTATGCATTATTTTTGCTTAATCTTCATGGGAAATCTCTAGTTAATGTCAAAAAACTCATTTTGCAAAGAAGGGTTTGGAGTAAGAAATATACCTGGGAGAGGCATATCTGGGTTCAAACTCAGGAAACCCGAATAAATAGCAAAAAATAAAATTAACCTGAATTGTTCTGCTGCCTGATCAGTTTCCCCTTTATGCCACCTGTCTCCTCCTTCCACATGGCAGCCCCTCAGAAACCTGGTGTCTCAGAATATTTCCAGAACCACTAATGTTGGTGATTTCAAGAGTCCTTTAGCAGTTTTGTTCTGTTGGCTGCTTATTTGATGGCAAACAGAATAGTGGAAATACTTACTTTCATTGAGCAGATAAAATAGTGTTCACCTCTCTATCCCAGATAAACAGAGGGGTTGAGAGGACGTAAAGTGGAGTGGGGGCTACCTTCTCCCTAGGTGCTTACTTATGACCTGACACTGAAGTCATCCACAGTCTTTCTCCATCAGCTCCATTCACTGCAGCAGCAGAGCACAGGAGCCAGTGAAGGAGCTTCTTGCTGGTAAACAGCAAAACAGAAGGCGGGCAGAAAGGAGGATGGGGCTGGAGGCACAGATGGTCCCTCTCAAGCTTTGAGGATCCAAGAAGGTGGGCTAAAGGTGAAAGAACAGAAGAGATGGTGGGCCTCTGAGTCTTCCCTGAATTTCTCCCTACTGGAGGCTGGAACCTGTTCAGAGAGACAGCAGGAGCACCAAGAACAGTGCTACTGGTAAGGCTCAGTTTCATGGAAAATCTGCAGTCAATCATCTCCCTGTGGGTTCTCTGGAAGAAAGCTATTTTTGGAGGAACTAGCTCTGCTGCACAAGGAGACCAGCACACAGGCCTCTGAGCCAACGGAATCCGAGAGTCTGCCAGATTGCCTTGCATGGAGATGGCCTTCTCTCTCCCAAAATGTCAGGGAATACAGAACGCCTCTCAAGGTTTCAGGGAACCATGATTGGCTAAAGGTTGAGGGCAGGGGGGAGAGACCCGATGCGCTGTCAGGCAAATCTAAGGAGAAAGGGTAAGTCAGGATGACACAGGTGGTCATGGACACTAGAGGGAAATTCTGAAGGATAAAAAGAGTAAGTCACATTCAGGTGTCCTATAGATGATATATCAGACACTCTGGAATCATCCCGGGATGCATCCTGCAGCTTCAATGCTCTGCTCCCTTTTTCCTCATCTTTTAACCTCCCCATCTGCTCATTTTCTCTCAGCACTGAGGAAGCACCTAGCTGCTTAAAAGACTCTCAGGCCAGCACAGGCTTCTGTCTTGGGGAAAACACAGGTTTCCTGCTCAAAGTCTTCTCCATCACTTCTCCCAGTGCCCTCCTAACCACATCCTCTTGAGGCCTCAGCTTCATTCCATCACAGAGGAGTCCCAGGCAATCTGTCTGGTAGGTTGTGGGTGTCCTATAAGCGTGGATATTTCCACGTCTGCATACATTTGCATGAAGATGAGCTGACACCAGGTTCAATTCACAATGCGAGCAAGTGGTTTTCTAGAACCAACTGTCTCAATCATAACTTCCAAAGATCTGAGCTAGCTCTGCAGGGGGTTCATGTCCTCAGGCAGCTCCAGCTCCTAGGATGTGGTTTTTAACCTTCTTATCTTGTGAAATAGAAGTGGCAATGGTGGTAAACACAGCCCCCCTCATGAGGCCCCCATGTGCCAGTACAATGCTAAGAGGCTACAACACACTCACTTAGCTCCCACCAGAAACATTAAGAAGATGCCATTTCATTGAGGAACCAAGGTCTAGCAGAGATATTTGCACTGGCTAAAAGGCAGGGCCGGAGTCATAATAAGGCTCTCCCTGGCTCAACAGGTCTATACTCTTAAATAGCTGGTTGTTCACAGCTACTTATTTGTGGAAAAACCAAGGCCAAATCTAGACTTTGGATTTCATAGACTAGATGGTTACAGACTTTTTCATTGGCCAGTTAAGGCAGACTGTGTATGTGTTACACAAAATGCACATTCATGTAATTATCTATTACAGGTCATTAAACATATATCTCACATGAGTGTTTGGATGTGTCTATAACCATATATATATATATGTATGTATGTATCTATATTCTGCCTCCAGTGTCAACATTTTGTAAAATACAGGCCATCCTGAATAACAGTAACAACATTTTTGTTACTGATATTTTTGTTCAATAGAAAAACATCACATTGTTGTTTATCTTACTTTTTCTCCTATCAGGAAAACCTCAGTAACAATCAGGCAGGCTTTAGGGAATCATACTTTTAGTTTACCAATGGTGCCTTTAAAATCCATTGTTGGGCTCTTGGGCATCTGTCTCTTCAAAGAACCCAAAACCATCAACTCAACAAATTTTTTGCTCTGCAATGTTTAGTGCAGCATTATGTGCAGTGGCTAGGGCATGGAACAGCCCAAGTGGCCACTGACAGAGGCCGGGTTAAGAATATGCGGTCTAGCCACACAATAGAAAACTATTCAGCCACAAGAAAGATGAAATGTTATTTTTTTGCAGCAAAATGGAGAACATGTGAAGGAATTATGTGCATTTAAGCAAGTCAGGATGACCATAAATATTGAACATTTATTTGGTGGTCAAGTCAATAGTGCAAAAATACAGATTAAAAACTAGCTGATACTGATGCATGAAGTGAGGCATCTGAGGTTAAGAGGGCGAGTGGAACAAGGAAAGGTCAAAGAAGTAGAAAGGATAGTGTTGCAGAAAACAAGTAATGAACACGTTACTATTTTGGAAAAAAAAAAAGCCAGGTATGTGACCAGAGTCTGGGTAGGGCGTGTCTTGCATGGATCCCACCTTTAATGTGGAGAGTTGCAGATTCTTTTTCCCAGACCCTGAGCTGTGTGCCTGTGAGGTACAGAGACATGGAGAAGGTGAGGCAGGTGGGTAAGCGCTCAGCTCCGGAATCAGGGGCTTGGGGGAAGGACCCTGCTCCAAAGTGAGCAGGAAACTGCCTTCTGTCATGAGACTATTTTTGAGATCTGGTCAGGGGAATGATATATGGAAGAAGGGAAGCAAAAGAATGAGCAGGCAGGAGTGAGGTTGAAGAGAACTTCACAGAGAGAGGCCAAGAGTGAAGGAGAGTTACAGAACAACATGAAGGGAATTGCTGGTCTTTGCTGAGAGGAACCTGGAGAACTGAGTGAAGATGGAAGGTCATATGGGGGTGAATTTCAGTCCAGCCTTTTGTTATACCTGGCATATTCCCACCTCAGGGCCTTTGCACATGTTGTTTCTGCTACCTGCAACATTCTTCCTCCAGATACCCTCTTGTTTTTACTTTCATTTACTTCCAGTCCTTCCTTGCTTCATTCCCCTCCCCCCCCCATAGAATCTACCATATCCTCACATCTTATCTAATTTATTTTGCTGTGTTTATTTTAGTTTGTTACTGCACTTTCCCCAGCAATAGTATACAAGTACCACAAAGGCAGATATTTTGCCTATTTTGTTTGTTGCTGCATTCTAAGCACGACCAATGCCCAGCCATCGAAAGGTGAAGGTAGAAAATGAAAATGATTATCATTTGAAGAGTGGCCTTGAGGTTAATGTTGACTCAATATTTACTGAGCCCAAAATGAGACAACAGCCAGCTCTAGTGTATGAGGGTGGAGGGAACAAGACTGAACTATGGGGATACATTTTACTGGCATTTTGGACATCTGTGTATCCACATGGACACATACACATACCATTTTTGTCTCTTTACTTAAACAACTCATTTAAAGAATAAACTGATTTGAAATGATGAAAGCTCAGTATTTTTTAAGATAATGGTAGCTATGGAAACAGTTCATCATTTGTATACTTCTTACCATTGCGGTTCTATAGAACACTCAGCCATGTATCAAGGACTGAATTAAGTGCTTTATATGTGCATTTCATTTAGTTTTCACCATGACCCATGAGTAATACTACAATCACCACATAATTATAAATGAGAAAAATAAAGATGAAAGAAAGCAATTATTTTGCCCCAAATCATACAGCTAGCAAATGGCAGTGCCAGGATAGAATCATAAGGCAATGCCAAGGCAGAGATTGGCAAATTTACATAAAAGGTCAGCTGGAATACATATGAGGCTTGGTGGACCATAAGTTCTTTGCTGCAGCTACTCAATATTGCCTTATGAGAAGTACGGGCAATATATAAACAAATGAGCATGGGTGTGTCCCAATCAAGTTTTATTTATAAAGAAGGCATTTTGGGCTCCCAGGTTATAGTTTGCCAAATGTAAACTCTTCAGTGGTCCATGTTCATGACCACTGAGCTGTCACACCTGGGAAATCCCAGGAGAGAAGCACTGAGATTTCTGATCTTTCTCAACTGTTAGCTTTGACAACACAACATACTTTCAGCCTACTAGGGGCTTGGCTGACACAGATAGGCAAAATGTCCAGGGATGAGGGTGGCAGATGGGACACTTACATTTCAACGATGCCCTCTGGCAAGTTGGCGGGGATCTCCGTCAAACCCTTCCCTCGACAGTCCACGATGTTATTACTGCATGTGCAGGCCGAAGGGCAGGAGATGGAGTTGGCATTGCAGGTTGGAGGCTCCGAGTGGGGGCCTGTGGGGCCAGAACACATGGTCAGCTCACGTCAGTGTGAGGAGCTGCCTGGGCTTCTGTGCCTCTAAGCCAGCTTCCCTGGGAGGCAGCTTTCCTCATAAGCTACCTGAAGTATTACCACCATCTGACTTTTCCCCTCATGGGGAAAGGGGGTGGGCATAGCTGCCACTGGCTAGATACTCAGCCAAGAGCAGAGATTCTGATCTTGACCTGTTTCTGGATTGCTCCACCTGCCCTATCATGTTGTCATCCTGGTCTTTAGAAGAGAGTGGCTCCAATCATGCATGAAAATATGCCACAGGAGTGCACCGGGACCACATTCTCAGGGTGCTCAAAGTCTGAAAGCTGACCTGGAGTTTTGGATTTTCATTGGGAACCAGATGCTGAACCTTTACTCTTTCATGGCTGGAAGCCACTTGAGGTATCAAAACCAAGTAGGAGGACAAAAGGTGGCAGAGTTTCCCCCTATGGGACACTGATGTTGTCAAAGTGGCAGAACAGTCATGGGCAGTGACATCCAAGGCATTTTCAAACAGTTTTCATGCCCTGAGAATATGCCAATAAAACTCAATTCATAGAAAAAAAAAAGGGCAAGTATAAGTTACTACATATTTTTAAAGTTAGCTCTTACTGTTTGAGGTGAGACCCAAGGTGGATTTTAAAGTGGTGAGAACTCAAAAAATGGCATCCAAGGAGCTTATTTTGAAAGTAAAATGTATTATTAGACACACATATACAGTAGCGAACTAACGTAAGATTCATATACAGTAGCGAACTAACGTAAGATTCAAAGAGCTACAAGAGCCTTAGCAACATTCTTTCACAGGTACAAATCTCTAATACAGGAAGCATGAAGTACATTCAAGCATTTTAAAGCCATTGCAAACTTTTTACATCATTACTTTTGCCTTCATATGAAGAAAGAATCTCAAGCTTGTCTATGCTTTCAAATGTTGACATCATGCTCCCAAAGGTAAACTCAACTCAGAGCCTCTCCTGGGACCCCAGGTCGTGCCTGTTGGGTCTAGACAGGAGGGGCTACTTTAATGTCCTTCCAGGACCTTTCAAGGGCAAAGAGCCATGACTGAGACCAAATTCAGACTAACGGCATGGAGCTACTTGCTGCTCAGACAGGGTACTTCTGGCTGGGAGCTGCTGTGTTGTCAAATATGAAGCATGGAAAATGCCTGCAGAAAAAGATGACGTCTGTGAAGTTGAGTCTGGGAAGCTGGTGAACCCATTTATGGTGGCTGACTAAGAGCACTGAGCAGATCTAGAAACTGAGTGAGAAAGTAGCAGGTCCTCTCTGGATTAATAGCCCTCACCCCTGGAGCAGGTCCTGCTGTAAAGGCCTGGCTTGATGCTTGTGGCTTAATTTGGAAACTTTACCTTGCCAGGAAGCACCAATTTAGTCATCAGCCTCATTTTACACACACATTCACACACTTTCAAAATTTAAAGACATCCTCTTAGCTGGAATTGAGAAAATATTCTGGTGCAAGGATTTCCAAGTCTCCATTATGACACTAGTGGATCTAGTGGAGATGACAGAAAATGCTAGGTACAACCTAACTTAGGCTAAAATACCCAAGTGGATCATTCTCTTATAGAGAGGCAATACTGGCATTGTTCTCAACTGGCAGTGTTTACATTTCTGAGAAAAACCTAATCCCAGAGAACCAGCCTGGAAGAGTCTCAGCCCATGTAAGAATCTCAGATCAAGAATGGGAGAACATTCTGGCTAAGTGGGTGTGCTCTAGAGTCACAATTTGTATCTTGTTTCTATCATTTCATACTTAGGTCCCTGGGCCTCAATCTTCCTGATCTGTAAAATGTGGGGGGGGGGAGGATAACAATACTTATTTCATAGCATGGGTTTGTTGTGAAGGCACAGAAAGTTAATGCACATGAAGTACTTAGTAATAACTGTGGCACAGAGAAAGAGCTTAGAAATGTTTGCTGTTATTGACAGGTCTGACTTTGTCACTGCCTACAGATCGTTGGGCAAGTCATAATAGCCCTTTTGAATTTTTTTTTAACCGCCAAACTCAGTGAGTGAGGAGCTGGAATGCTAACTCCAAAGTCCTTCCTGGGTCTAAAGATCAGCTATTCCTTTTCTTCAGGAACAGAAGGAGCACGACACCTGCTAGCAGCTTTCCCTCCTCTCTTTGCAGGTGACAAAGAACATCTACAGTGTGAAGGGCTCTCATCTAGTCACCCACCCGTGTATACTCGAGGGAGGATGTGAGCAATAGGGCCTTACCTGTCCAGGCTTTGTCATGCAGAAGGCTCTCTCCAAAGAGACATGACCTTCCATGTCAAGGGCAAGTGTGCCTAACAAAGCCAAAGACAACTGCCATGCTCCCAGGCACCTTCCTTTTTGGGAAATGTCAGGGGCTCAATGGAGGGCTAGAGCGTAAGGTCTCACGTTTCCCGTCTGCTCAGGTGGAGGGGGTCATTTCAGGGGAATAGCTCATCTGTCAGAATAGTCCTTGGACATGTCTTCCAGACACCATATCCAAAGGTCACATTGGCAACAGGAAGTTCTGAAATGGAGTTTTGTCAAAACTGCTCCTTCTGACTTCTCTGCTGAAGTAAATTGTTTAAACCAGACCCGAGCACAGCCATGGGGCCCCAATCTGGGTCTGTCTTAGGGTGGCTCCGATTCAGCTGGTAGTGTGTGCTACATCTCAAGGCATGTTGTCAAGGCCAGAAAGCCTTTGAAAAGATTCCTTCACCAGGTCACTAGCAACACCTTTAATTACACGGTGAGAAAGAGCATAATTACACTCCCTGTCAGCATTCCAGCCTGGTGGCTTCCCAGCCAGGTACTCCCATGCGTGGTGAGAATGTTGCTCCCATGTTGATAGAAAACACTTCAGGTTTAAATTGGGGTTGAAAGATAGGTTTGCTTTCCTTGGAAACCTTCCCTTCTGACCAATGCTGCTGGACAGAGCCCATTTCCCTTTGGGTCTCTGAGGCTGTGATGGCAGGAGTCCTTCCCTTTGCTTTCTGCTTCTGGATAGACTGAGGTGACCTTCTCTGTCTTACTGTTCTATAGCCCTGGTGCCTAAAACAGGGTCTGCCACAAAACATGGACTCAGTAAACACACCTTGGGTGAGAGGGTGAGGACACGAGTGACATGGGCCCAGAAGCCTGGCAGAGAGGACCCGCACCCATGAGCCATCTCTCTGGGAGGGGCCCGGTGGGTATGTCAGCCAGAGTGGGGAGACGGAACGGTGGTGGAGAGATGAAACAGTGGTGGTGGAGAGATGGGCAGGCATGCCTGAGCGCACATCTTTCTACCCCTCAGCCAAGTTATGGCAATGGTCATCTGCCTTGTCCCCTGGGGCTGCCTCTGAGCCTACCTCACTTGCACGGGTTGAGGTCCCAAGAGCTTCACTGAGCTCAGTCAAGCCATCATCACTCCCAACCTTTTCTGCCCACTCTTGTTGTGGGACATGGAGATGAGGGTGGAGGGGGCAGCAGGTTTCCAAGGCGGAACAATGTGAGGAAACACCTGCCTTTTTTACCCAGCAAATCTCTGACTCCAAGCTGGGAGGCACAGGGGAATAGGAACAGAATTTTTCCGCCAGAACAGAAAGAATCTACCTGTCTTGGATGGAGACGACTGCTGGGTATGTGCCTTCACACACATGTTTCTGCTGTGGACATGTTCTCACGTTCTCTACTGTTCTTGAGCAAGCCTGTCTGCTGGCTTGACCTACTCCCCTTCCTGAGATCAGAGCGAGGTGATGAACTAGTTCTCTAAGTTGTCCCACCATAAACTTGGAAGTGCACACGGAAATGCTCTTCAGCTCTTCCTTTGTAAATAAGTGCCCTTACCATCTGCCTCTGGAGTTTTAGTGGTGCTCAAAAGTTGGAGATGGAAGGATGTCCTTACCCAGAACAAGGAGATGGAGAACCATCTCTCCTCGGGGGGCCCATCTTGCCTTTCCTTAATTGCTGCTTCAACTCTGGAGTGAATCTGAAGCCAGAGCTATCTCTATGCCAAATGAAGAAGGAACTGCAATGTCTTACCATGTCTGCTGAGACTTACTGAGTGTGGGCTTGAGGGAGGCAGAGCAGAGCTCAGGGGACAGTGAAGCTGCCCTTCTTTGCTCTTTGTGGATCACCAGGGTGCTGCTGCCAGCCCAGTGGCACTCACAGAGCTAGGGGGCAGGGAGGCATCCATGTGCTAGCAGGGGGCGCCTCTCAGCCCATATCACCTGCTGCACAACTCCCTCGTGAGCTGTGCAGTGATGACCAAGGAGATTGGCTCTGACCCCGGCCACCACATATCTTCATTCGTCTGACTGGCCCCTGGGGGTGGTCCCCACACTGAGAGCAAAGGTCCTCAAGAGTCTGCCCAGGTGAGTGGGCCAAACATCACCAGACTTCAGATATGAAGGGCTGCAGAGATGGTGAGGAAACAAACAGAAGCCGGAGAGAAGAGGACTGGGGCAAGGACACAGTTGTGTCCGCGGCTCCTATAACAGGAGCTAACGTGGCTGGAATGTTTCCTATCAGCCAGATCCCGCACCACGAGCTCTGTATAGGTTATCTCACTTGATCCTTCAAAACCCTGTGACTTAGGTTCTGTCATTATTATCCCCATTAATGCTGATGAGGAAGCTAAGGAAAAAGAGACCACAGAGCAAGTGAAAACCAAAGTTCTGCCTTTGGGCCCCACGCTCTTCTTGCCATCTCTTGTGCCCAAAAGACAGCCCTCAACTTCTTTTTGTTGCCGTGAAATTGAAAACCATCAGCAGTTCAGAATCTTGGGAGACAGGAGGAGGAAAAGGCAGGACTAAGACACGGCTGGACATGCCCGCCTTTTGAGCAGCACTCCTTTCTCTTGTCTTGCAGACAACTTCATCCAGTGGTGTGCCCAGACTTGAAAAATCCAATGGTCTTGTGAGCACGTGGAAATAAATTAATTCCAGTATTTAAATTAAGCATTCTGGTTGGCCTCTGGCCTTTTAAAAGCCAACAACAGACTGCAATGACAATGGGACTCGAGCAATTATGATGAGAATATAAATGAACGTGATTTAAATACCAGAGGCATGATAATTTTGGGAATGGCTAAATAAACCTAATCATCTCATTCCTGCAATATGCAATTATGGTGTTTTAATTAAAACCTCCTAAGGAGATGGGAGGCTTGTCATGGCTTACCTTAATTATCTGTATATTTTGTAACTAGTTCTCCCATTTTTTTTTTTTTGACAAGGGGGAAGTTTCTTGTTTCCAGGGAGATATGCCTATTTCATTTTTAATAATACATGAGGAAGTGTGGATTGAGAGGTTATTATAATCAAGCACTGTCATCTGGGACTCCTGAAAATATAAGACCTGGTCCCTTATTACTCGAAGACAAGGTTCATCTTCATGAAAAGCTGTCTCCCATTCAAGTAGAGGTGTGATATGTGTGGAAAGACTCAAAGGGGTTCTGAGGAAAGTGGTCATTTGACTCAAGAGGTCAAATACTTAATGAACCCCTTGAATTACAAATGGTGACTTGTAGAGATGTTCTCTGATGAAGGAATCAGAAAATTGGCACATAGAAGATGAATTCTAGAGTTTAACCTCCTAACATAAACTCTTACAGTGAAGATGGGAAAAGCAGAACCACCAAAAACTTGCTACTAATAACCTGAGCTGCATTGTGAGCATGAATTTTGATAAAGTCTGGTTCAGACAGCTGAGTCCCTGGCTCTGGAGTCTTCTGCTTGAAATAAGTCAACAGTGAAATGCTTCCATCAGTAGCCAAAGGTAAAGTAAGTGGCCCAGTTGTACACATTAAACAAAATGTTAATAAGAAGACAATCTTCTACCTTCATGAAAAATTCCCAGGTGTCACCCCAGAAGAAGAAAATGAATTCCTCTAATGAGCCCCCCACAAGAGAGAGGCTGCAGTGCTAGAGCATGCCGCCAGCACATTTCTGGGGTAGCTGGACTGATAAGGAGCCCAGAGCTGGGGACTTCTGGGGTGATGAGGCTGGGCTCCAGACAGCTGGATTTAATTCAAAGGGAGATATCAGAGACTTGGTGGGCAGGGCCCTCCCAGGCTGAGCGAGATAAAGCTCTTTCCTGTCCCTGGAGTCACATGTTTGTTGAATTTTCTGATGCCATTTAGGGGCCCAGGGAGGTCTTCCTACGCTGCCTTCACGGGGACACTGGAGCTGAAACCACAGAGATGGCATGCCTAGTGTGGGCAGATGACCTCTATTTATAAGAGATGTTCCTGTCCCTCCCTTCTTGAATGAAGTTCTCTTTCTGAGTTGGGGGCGGGGGCGAGTGAGGACTTGCTTGAAAAGAAAACACTGATGGTTTTGAGGTTAAAACAACTACAATCAGGTTTACAAAAAGCAGTCTCACTCAGCTGCCTCCTGGGCTTTGCCGTGGGCCAGGGCCTGCACCTCCAAATGTCTCTGTGTGTATGTGTGTGTGCACGTGCGTGCCTGGTATCTCTGTGTATGGGATGTGTACGGGGTGGTCAGCATCGGAAATGTGCTATTCACTTCCTGCATGTGCACAGGCTAAGTCTTGCTCTCTAACTAGCTTTATCAGTCATCAGAGAGGTGGTGCTTTTTGGAGGGTGGCTCCTCCTGCATCCACTCAGTGCTGGTGGTGGTTCATTTATCATGCATGTTCAATTAACCAGCACCCCACAGACAGTAAACCTGCTTGGAACATTTCAGAAAATAAGCCACACAGCATTCTACTTTTTAACCTATGAAAGTCTGATGAAGGCATTTAAAGAATTCCTCATGCACAGATATGTTGTTCACCTACATTCATATCCATGGTGAGTGGATAGAACTTAATAACATAGTCATGTCTGGCATCTGTGGAAAAATTCCTCCTGTCCTCAGAGACACCCAGTTTTGTACTAAGAAGCTACGGTGACCATCACAAGCAAAGGGTTAATCTCCATAAAAAGGGGAGGTGACGGGATGCTGTTGTGTAGCTAAGAATTAAACCCACCCATTAGATCCAGCTACTTCCAGGGAAGGAGATATGGGGTACTAGCAGTTGCAGGAGTTTTGGGGCTGGCCTTCCTCCCCTGGATCTGGGACCCTGATGGCTGCTGGCTAAGTCATGACTTGCCACTCCTGAAACGGGAAGTCCCGTAAAGGGACTGAGACGTGCGCAGCGTTAAGCCCGGCCCCAACCCCTAATGATGTGTTTTAACATTCTCTCTAATGAGTTTTTCTCACTCGCTCACAGATGACTCCGGCACTCTATAATTATTTCTTTCACTGGTACTTATGCCGATATTGTACCCTTTGCCTAATAATTACTGTAATTACAGTCACTATATCTGAGTTTGGTGCCTGTGTGATAAACGGTTTTATTGTATGTGTTTGATGGGAAGTGATTTCTAAGTGGGTGTCTATAGGAAATTATTGAGGTGCTGCTCTGAGACACGTTAAAATGTTTTTGGATAATTAATAACTTGACAGAGTAGCAACATGACGGGAGGAAGCAGGAGAGAAGGAGATGACATTAATTCAAGGAACATTCTACCTAAGGGTGCAAGAGGGCCAATCTGCACTTTGCAACCCTCTCTGGAGGGCCCAGCAGTTTTTGCGCCCTCATTAAACAACTGATAATGAAAATGGCAACGGAGGAGAAAAGCAGGAAGGGCACTCATCACTAGCACTCAGTGACCTACTGCTCTTCCATGCCTGAACACTGGAGCCTCCCCATTTTCCCACAGATCAGCCATTAGGGGATACAGGGCCCCATGCCAGGACTGGGTTGCTGGGACATCAGCAATGCCTCTTTGGGAAACTACTCAACCCATGACTTTGTCTTTTGAGGAAATTAGGATTCGTGCTACTTCTTTGCCAGCAGAAAAGGGGAGAGTTGGTGGAAGCAGAGGATTGTCAGCCAAAGTGAAAACAAACAAGCGAGCAAATTTAGTACCTCGCTGGAAAGCCACATCTTTCTGGGACAATCTTAGCCATCACTGGGCCCCCTCCCATCCCTGAAGATCTAGACGGCCTTTCCTTATGTCTGGACTCAGGTCTGCTTTCTGTATGATGTAGACAGTCTGGGCTTTTATTGTGTTTCAGTTACCCACAGATCAAACTCTTGTGTTTGCTCAGCACATTTGGTGAGTCACTAAACTATAATAATTAAACTCCACTTATTAGTGCTTACTGGAGTGAGCAGTATTATGCCAAGTGCTTTCTATGCCTTGTTTCAATGGAGCCTTCCACCATCCCTGAATTATCTACGATTATTATCTCCATTCTGCAGCTAGGTGATCACTTGTCCATGTTACACATTGGCAAGAGGCAGAGCAGGATGACCCCACATCCTCCATGACCCTACTTCCCAGTTTCAGTGAGTAACTAATAGGACCAGAAAAATGTTCAGCAAATGCCAATGTACCTAATCTGTATGGGCTTTCTTACCATGGACAGACTGAGAGGCTTAACTGAAAGGGATCTATGAATTCTTTGCACATTTTCTTTCCCCAGTGACAAGAGCACCTTTGGGTGCTCAGAGTGGAATGACTACCATGCATGAGGGCAAGCTATGGGGTTCTGCCCCAGATTCCTGGCTGGGATGTATGCTCAAGACCAGGGAGATGTCAGGGCGAGCTCGAGGGTGGGGAGTCACGCCACAGGCGGGTGGATAGCGGGCAGTCTCACCTGGACACACGTACTCCTTCTTCTGTACATCTGCCACATTGAAGCCTCGCAGGTGCACAGGAGCCATGCACAGGGTGAACTGGCCGACGGTGCGTCGCTGCCGCAGCCAGTCTGAGAGCCAGGCCAGGTGGCAGTCGCAGTACAGGTGGTTGGAGTGGAGGCGCCTGGGGAAGGAAGCGGCAGCATGAAGAAGGGAGGCTTCATGGAACGGGCCGTATCTTGCACCCTTGCCCAGCACCATCATTCCCAGCACCTAGGGATGCCTTTCCCTCTGCAAATCCTATTGACCACAGGGGCCTCCGCCCTTCTATTGCTAAGCCACAAATGACAGTTATCTTCACATACAGCCCACATCCAAAGAAAGCCTCCAGGACCTGACATTCTCCACTTCTTAATAATAATTCCACCCTTTTCTTTGCTCAAGAAAGCCTCAGCACCCAGGAGAGGAGATGTGCTGCCTGATGCGAGGCCTACTTCAGAAGGGGAGACTTGTCCTCAAATATCAATTCTGTAGCTGGAGTGAATTTTACACACAGGGCTCAGAACAGCTGCTCAAGCTCAATAGCCCAGTCTGTGGTGGCACCGTGGCCCATTTCTGGTGCTGTTCCTCCTCCACCCCATTTCCCCTTCCTTTCTTCCTTAGGCTTCTCTTTTAATGGCCCCACTGCCTATAACACTAGTGAGTCTGAAACCACTTCTGTGTGTATCATCCAGTGTGAGTGAGCAGAGAAGGGGCCTCCGGGAAGGATGTACCGTCTCTCCATCCTTCCAGCTAAGCAGACCCCTGCACTGCCAGCTCCCCAGGGTCTCCTCCTTTCCTCCCCAAGTTCAGTTCTACCCACTGTATTTGCTATTCTGATTAAGGTGTCTCTGAAACTGGCTCCAGGACTCTTTGACTTTCTCCCTCCACTGGCTGCTGTAAATAAGATTTCCTAGAATGATCTTTAGGTTTCACTTCTGTGTGTGTGTGTGTGTGTGAGGGAATCCCAACCAGCTGAATTTCCTTTCCATGACTTCGGGGTGGGGTGTAAGCTAAAGATGCCAGGGGCTGTTAAAGCTTCTTCCCCAGGCTTTCTCTACCAGGGAGTTAAATTTCTACATCTCCTACAACCCTAAGTCATTATAAATAGATGAGTTTTAGGCACATCAGCTTGTCATTTCAAATGCTCAATCCTGTACATGCTAATCAGCCAGTAGTATCTTGGGACTCTCAAGTACTGTGTCAAGCCAACTAATACTGAGTGGCAGCCCAGAGCAATGGTTCGGGCAACCTCCATGCCTGAAATGGAGAGAGCTCAAGGGCTCTTGACCACACTCCATTTAGTGGAAGGTCAACATCACTCGACATCAGCCAAGTACAGCTGAGTGTGCTGCGTGCCAGTGGAGTCTTCTTGCCATCTGTGGGTGCAAACATTTGGCAGGGTGGGGTCATGGGGGCTAGGGGTGGGAGCAGATTCCTTCCTACAAGACTGACTGAATGAACCCATATCCCACCACATGTCATGTTTGTACTGAAAGATATTTTGAAAAGATTTTTATGATTTTGCTTTAAGATAATTTGGTGCTGTAATGTTGCTTTTGTTATTTCAGAGGCCGCATTTTATGGCTGAACACATTCTCATTGCCTCCAAGACCCCAAATACAGTGCCTGTAAGGGGCCCCTAGGCCCTCTTTGAGGTTCCAGTCTCAAAACATCCTCCCTCCCCCACAACTCCCCAGCTCATTACTGCTGAAGCAAGAATAGTCTCTCTTCATCTAGCATTCCAGAAAGAGATGCAACAGACCAGAAGGGGTAGGGCAGGCAAAACCCCACATTGAAGGAAGGCCTTCAGCTCTAAGGGGGAAAGCCAATCCTCTGTTCACTCCACCAACATAACTGCTTTGTGCCAAGGGTAGAGTGGTGCCTGGGGGTGGCTCAAGGCTGGTTATTGAAAGAGCATAAAGGAAAGAAGGGGATTCCTTGTTCCTGCTGGGACTGCCTGGGAAATTATAGTGTAAGTGATTAGGATCTGTTTCCTGACCCATCAGTGAGAGAGGGGGAAAGGAGGAGGGAAAAGATGAGGGGTATGGAGGAGAGGGAGAGGTTTCTATGGCCAGTTAGCTTCCACCAGGAAGCTGTTGCCTAGGAAAATGGCAACAGTTGATAGGTTCTTGGTGACAAGGTGGAGCAGAGGCAAGCTGCAAAGACACACACAGGCTGAGGGTCTGGGCTTCATTTGTGTGCCCGAGAATCAGAGGAGCTGAATGAGAAAGGCAGAGGCCCTCCTTGGCCTGAGACAAGGGAGCTGGAGGAGCAGGGATTCACCGTGAAGCCTGCCTGGTGGATCAATGAGAACAAATTCCCGTCAGTTCCAATCAGGGATAAGAGATCAATGGAAACAAAAAAGAGGCTTAAGGTAAAGTCAGATTCTTACTGATGATTAATTTCTAGGATAATCAAAATGTCAGAGGTTTCCATTTTGGAAGATTCTATTAGATTGGCTTTCTCAGGCCCCACTGGCTAGCTCCAAGCTACTTCTCTCCTTGCTCTTGCTTACATGGTCCCTGTGCCTTCGTATGTGCAGGTTCCTCCCCTCAAGTGGGACAATGAAGTTCTCACTTCTAGGCAACTAGCCCTAGAAGAGGGAATAATGAACAAAACTGTACTGGAAGCCACATGAAATCTCTTGTCAAAAGCCCAGAGCAGTGGGTGGGGCCAGATCCCCTATTGGAATTTTACCGGCCAGAAATGCTGGGGGGGTGGGGGGGTTGTGTGTGTGTGTGTGTATGGAGGGGGGGTAAGGGGGGAGGGTGTCAAGCTAGGGATTCTTCCAAACTGTCACTTCCACCCTGTTTGGGAGAGCAAATGAAGCAGTATCATTCCCAAATGGTAATATTTAAAGAAAAATGATCACAACAGTCGTGAGCTGTGACCCTGGATACTGCAGTATTGCTAATCCTCTAGTGAGCACGGAAGTGAGTTATTTAATTCTGATGGGTCTGATGGCCATGCCACAGGGAGAGTGGCCCCCAGTGGCTTTGATTGTGGAATCCCCTGCCCCCCTCCCCTCAATTCCCTGAAACTGTCTCTTCTGTTTCTGTTCTGTTGCCAAGACTATGCACAGGCTCTGACATCAAACTCTCAGATCTGAGCGTGGCTCTGTCCTTTCTGACTTTGACTTGGGTCTCAGCATATTCATCTGTAAAGTTGGGGTGTTGATGGTGCTGCTTTCCTAGAGCCATTGTCAAGGTTGTAACGATTCATGGGACATTCTTAGGATAAGGCCTGGAACACTGGAAATCATGGAAGAAATGCCTACTACAGTTCTCATTTCAAGGCAACTAGCCCCAGATTTGTCTCCTCCCAATCCATGACCTGGTCCGCAGGAGGCTATCATTTCTTATTTAGACACCAAGGCATCAAGGTGGGTAGATGGCTCCTCAATGTGGTTTTGCAATCTTTTGTTGACAGAGACATGTTGGCCAAACCACCTTTGCAGACTATAAGGTGAATGAATACAAATGCCAATTTGTTAAAGGTGCCTTTTAGCCAGAGATACTAAATTAAATTTCCAGCAAATCCTTTTAGAAAGGGCCAGTGTTCATTTTCTATAAAATGTGGCTTTCTGAATTCAATATAAAAGCTTTCCTTTAGAAATCCCATTTATGACTTCCTTCCTCTCTCTTCTTCCCCCCTCCCTTTCTCCACCACTAGTCTCCCCCCTCCCAACTTTAATTACAGTGAAGGGGGATTAGTCAGCTCAAATCTCCTGGGAGTTCTATTCAGAGCTATCTCTGAAATTAAACTAAAGAAAAAATGGCAGCAGACAGGGAGCAAAGAGAACAGATTAGATTGATTGATTGATCTGAACCCATCAGATGAGTATTTAGGACCACAGGGAAGAATGACAACAGAAACAAGGAAGAAAAGACTTCCTCCACCCCAAACTCTGACAAAACACTCAAGATCCAGACGCAGCCATGTCCCCCTGTCCCAGTGGGTCAGCTCATCTTCTTCACTGCTGCTCTAAACTGGAAATACGAGAAGGAAAGTCTACATCAAAGAGGAGCAGCCTGGGGGTGCAGACTTGGGGGGGGGCGGTGTCCTTAAGGTGACTTTTGTTTTCTTGGCCAGGAGTGCTGGGCCTCATTGTTCCACTCATGTGAGGTTTTCTGGGGACATGATGAACTCTTTGAAGACTCAGTGGCTTTTCCTTAAAACTCCACTACTCTAAAAAGTGATGGAAATGGAGAGATATTTCTGGCTGAAGAATGCTATTCTGTGAGGGATCAAAGGGAGGATGAAGGAACACTGATGGCAGCTGCTTCATTTCTTCTTGAGAAAAACTGGTATTTAATGAGTATGCGGTATGACCCAGCACGCCACATTTGATTCCAGGACAGCATGGAGATAAACATTTCTGAACTCAGGGCTCTGGAAGACAGAGAGATAAAGAAACCTGCCCAGAGCGAGTGACAGATTTTACAAGTAAACTTGGGTCTGCCTGACACCCAGTTCTGCATTCTTTGGCTGCAGCATCCATTGCTTAACTGCACTGCTTTCTGGTCCATTCTCTTTTGAGATGAGGTGACTTTCCACCAATTGCAGGGGCCCCAGACTTTATCAAAATCTCCTGGAGGTCACATTTTAAAAAGACGTCTGGCCCCACTCCCAGAGGTGGTGATTCCAAGGGCAATTTTGCTTTTTTAAATGCCTTCTCGGTCATGCTGATGCTCACAGTGTGGAGGCCCCAGTGTGAGAACCACTGCGCTAAGGAAATTCAAATCTTTGTGGATTCCATGTTGCTCAAACCCATAGATAAGCCAGTGGCTTGGTATTTGGTCCATACTTCTGGATAATTAGTATGATAATAATTATAAAACAATCAATGTTATTGATTGTTTGCTACATGCTAGGCACTTATACTGAATCTCATCTGATCCTCACCCCCATCCTTATTTATAGCAGAGAGAACAGAGATCCCAGGCTTAAAAAGGGCCCAAAAGGGATTCCAAGCCTTTGCCTTGGCCTTCAATGCCTTTGGCTGGAAGCTTCTGGATGCTAGCACTCTCTCTATCTGTGCTGTGAGGAAAGCACCATCGAGGCTCCACCAACACAAGGAGAGAATCCAGAATGAATCTGTGAAAAGATCTACAGAGCCCAGTGCAGAAAAACTTACAAAAGGGGTCCTGGCTGAGAGCATTTCCTAGGCAATGAAGGCAACAGCTCTGCTCTCAGTAGGGGCTGTGATGAGGGAGAATCTTTTGGAGTATACGCACTGCTCCCACTCTCCCAGCATATTAAAGGTAAAGAACCAGGGTGCAGCATTCCACATGAGTGTCATCCAGCAAGTGTGCAGGAGGGAAGTTGCGAGAATGGCCGCAAGGAGGGACTAACACTCCCTTTTGGCCATTGGTTGCACTGGGCAAACAGTGGACAGCACTGGCAATGTGGCAGAACTGCTAGCGGTACATGAATTGGCCAGGGAAGTGGCGAGTCAGTAGGTCCCAGTTCTTTATGTTCTGTAATGAACTAACAGTATTAAACGTTCCCATCAAGATGGCAAACACAAAGAATTCCCATGTCCTGGGGTGAAAAGAAATGAGTCGAGCGGCTATGGAATAGGGGTTCCGGAGGGACTGTGAGCCTTTCCCCCTTCCACCCTCATTCACCCTCATAGCCCTCAGGTAGTAGCGGAGGAAGGCAGCCATTGGCTACAGGAACCTATGCCCAGCCCCCACAGCTCAGGGGGCTGCACTTGGGCTGCAGGTGGGGAAGAGTCAGGGGCTTTTACTCACAGAGTTCGAATCTTCGGCATGTGGTTGAAGCTGGTGACCAGGATGCGGCTAATGTTGTTGTTGTTGAGGGTGCTGTGGAGAGAGGAGAAGGGAATGGTTCATAAAGCAGCAGCATGAGCAGGGTGGAGGCACCCGGGTGTGGGTGGATGGTGGGGCGGGGGTGGGTGTGACTGCAAGTAGGACCATGGAGCAGTAGCGATGGAGCAGCTGGAGTGAGGGTACCACTGCCAGAGCTCAGAGACCCTGAAGCCTTTTCCAAGAGATCCCACATCCCTGCTGCTGTCCTTTTAGTTCTCCTGACCCACCTGAAGCAACATTTCGGCTTCCTGAACTCCTACTGGGCAGAGAGCGCCCTGTTAGACATCTCTGATTCTTACAACTACAATGCCAGTTACATGTCATCACCCTCTTCTAGGAGAGAAGACGGACATACATCATTTTGCTTAGTGACACACAACCCTGCAAGGTTGGAAATGAGGCGTTTGGGCTACAGAGAAGTAAAACAACTTTTCCAAAACTCCAAGCTGTTTAGTACTGGAAACGGAATGTGACCCTGGTATTCTTTTACTCCAAACTTCTTCCTCTCCACTGCATGAACAGGATGCTCTCTGTCAATTGAGTATATTCAATATTTTTTCCAGGCATCTTTTGACTCTCCAAGCACATCTGAAAGCGAGCCTGTGAGCTCTACAAGGACAGGGATTAATCCTCCTCTTTCTCTTGTGCTCCATGCCAACAGACAGGAGCACCTCCAGAATACCATTAGCACTAACTGGTATCCTTGGACAGGGAAAAGGGAAGAGATGAGAGCTCCATAGGGAACCAGGATGACACAAGCAGCCCAAGAATGAAATCGAGTTGTAGACAGGCAGTTCAGCACTGGGATGCATAGGTCCCTTCCTTCTAGAGGAATCTATTGTGGAGACCCAAGGAAGGTGTGGCATATTACATTCAGATCCATTAGCTGAATGAAGCCACCCTCCTGGGAAAGCTAGGTCTAGTTCTCAGCTTTACAGTCCATGCCTGCCTAGTCCATGCCTAGAGTTGATGCATCATCGAGTGCACAAGCTAGACACAGCCTGTGGCGCAATTCCTTTATGGTGACCACCTGCGCTGTGCTCTGCTCTGCTTCTCCCAGGACATATCAATGTCCTCAGCAACCTGACTCTTCTTACCCTCTTGCAGCCCCACTGGGCCAGGAAGGAGCCTGGCTTTGGAAGCTTCCATTGGTTAAGCAAACTTATTTTGCCCTTGGTTCTTGGCAAACACATTCTCTTCCTCTTAAAACTTCTTAAGTTTTAAGCACTGAAAGGCTGAACAATTTTCTACCTTGTGCATTACAACAGTGTCATGACCTGGTTCACACATGTGTTGTATGGGTTCAGTTAAACAGAGGCTGCCCTTTTATCAATACTGGTAGAAAGAGTCCAATGCTGTTCTGATCACTACTATTAACCCCACTCCCAAACTCCATAGAATTGAAAAGGAGCTTTGTTCCACATACAGTGGCCCCCACAGCCACCTCCAATGGTGCCTGCACAGATTCCTGCCTTACTTGATGGTGACCTCAGCTCATAGCAGGAATCCAGTCATCACATCTCCATCACTGCTGGCTATTCAATTCTGATCCCTGGTCAACTTGGCATTTGTTTGACCAATAAGGTTAGGAGGAAATCTGTTTACCCTAAGGCACAGGTCCTCACCTTCCTCCCTTCCTCCTATATTTATTATGCATCTACTGTAAGTCTGGCCAGGTACATCATATGGTAAAGAGGAAAGAACAGACCAAATTTATCTTTGCCTTCTGCCACTCCACAACATTACTAATGTGCCAGTGCAGATACTTATTTTATGAAATTGCATTTATGTGTCACTTTGGTTTGTGTGACCTTTCTTTTTTGAGTACCAGTGTGTGGGAGTGAGTGTGGGAATCCCTGGTGTCTCTATCCACCCAGGAGGTTTCCAGAGCATCTCACTGGGCATGACTAGAGAATGTATCACTTCCCATCAGACAAGGCTCTTTGCAGGAAGCTTCCTGGGAGTGAGAACTCAAAAATTCCTACTTCTCCAGAGAATTAGGAATGCCTCCAGGGCAGGAATGATGCCTTCCTTTTCTCATTTATGTGTCCCAGTATCCCAGGTTTCATCCCCTGGGGGGGGGGGTCCTATTTAGGATCTACAACTCACTCCCATTTCTCTCAGAGGCAAAGAGCAAGAAGCCTGTGCCAAGGAGACCTCGCGCGGCCACTCTACATCAGGCTGAGTTCCCAGCCAGCCCTAACTCAGCCCAGCACACAGCGTGGTCACACACAGGGATCCTGCGGTAACGGCCTCTGACAGTAGTCCGGCCGCAATGACTTATTAATGTGTTACTACACTGATATTTAAATGTGAGCTGTAATGAGGGCTATAAAACATTTACGATAATAGCAATTATTCCAGAACCCAAACGACTAAACACAGTATTCAGCCTTTCATGATTTGCTGTGAGGGGCTGGCCAGCCCAGGGATGTCAGAGGGCGGGTAACTTCCTGGATGCTGATCTCCATGGCAGCCACAGTTTTTGTTTCTCTAATAAACATAGATTTATTTGACTTCCAGTCTTGGCAGCTTTTGCTTGTGCAGGAAGCACTGTGCTCTGTCTGGTTCTTGTGTGTCCACCTAAGCTGCTGCCATCAGTAGGGGTGTCACTATAAGAACCCCATCACAGTGGGGCAGTATCAGAGAGCATGGGTTCGAAGGAGAGACCTGGTTTAGATTCTGGGTCTGCCATGGACTGCTCCTGCAACCAAGAGTAAATTTTTCTTAGTCTTACTAAGTTTCCTGCTTTGGAACATGTACATAAGGATAGCACAAATCTCATAGAACTTCAGGGGGTGATTAAATGAGGTGATACTAATAATGATAACATGACCTGGAGGTTACTATTCCAGGCAGGCCCTGGCTAAGGTTTCCACTCAGCCCATCTCATGTAATTTCTCTAATCATCCTTTGGGACAGGCACTGTTGTTATCATCTCTATGTCATAAAGCAGGTACCAGGATTATGAATCCAAGCAAATGAGTCCAGAAAGAATGTGGCTGCTGCAACAGATTGCCATATACACAGTGGCTTAAAGCCACACAATCTATTCTCTGAGTTTGGAGGGCAGATGAGGTAAAAAGGGTTTACAGGGCTGCATTACTTCTGGGGGCATCAGCAAAATTTGTTTCTTGCCTTTTGCAGCTTGAAGAGGCTGCCCGCATGCCCTGGCTTGTGGTGCCCCCCACTTCTGCTTCCATTGGCACAGCTCCTACTGCTCATTGAAATACCCTGCCTTCCTTGTAGGGGGCTGTTATGATGACAGAGTTTAAATGCATATCTGGGGTAACCTCCACATCAATAACCTGAACTCGGTCACACCTGCAAAGCTCACTTGTGCCTAGATGTCCAAGTGTCTTGGACAAGGACATGGCCATCCTTGGTGGTGATGTGAGCAGGTAACATTCTTTACCTAATCACCATGACCTCGCAACAAGACATAGAAAGCACAGTTTGTTCGGAAACTGCCTTGCTCAGAAGCAGTCATCAGTAATGATTGGCTACCATTATTGTAGCTTGTGTTGGTTTGGTACATCATAGTTTATGATTTTATTTATCTCATTGGCTACTTGAGCACTGTGAGGCTGGAATTATGACCCTGTTTTATAAGTGAGTAATTTGAGGCTACAAGAAGGAGACAGGTAAGGAGACATCTCCATGGTAGCACATGAGCTCCTAGAGGGTTTGAGATGCTGTTTTTATTTATACCACAATTTTGCCCAACTTACCTACTGCCTCCTGTTTCAGAGAACGTTTGTTACTCCTGCCTGGCTATTTTCTGTCCTTTCCATGCCAGCCACCAAAGCTAGAAATAACTGCACAGGCTTCTCATTTCCTCTTGTTCTATAAGCCTCCTTGAAAATTAACTAACAGAAAAATAAATGGTTTGGTCTGACAATGACCTGCTGCCACTCCCAATGGCTGGCTGGCCAGATGCACTATGGTGACCTCATCAACTTCATCTTACTCACCTCCATCTCCTGGAGGAGTTTTGCTAGTTCCAGAGTGGAGTTTCAGCTTCATACTCTGCTCCTCTGGAGATATTCTGAGAAAATACACTTTACACCAAGTCACCCAGGTTGGAGGTTCTGCCCCCTAGTAAATGCACTCAATTCAGCATTTTCCATCAGGTTTCAAGCTCAAGTTCAGGGTCAAATGAATTCTATAAAACTTCAGGATTGTTCTGGCCTCTTCTTTTTGCACCATCCCCAGTGATTGAATGAGCATTTCAGTACAAAATAGACATGGGGCCTTTTCCCCCATGGAATTTAAAGGACTCTCTACCCACTTTCCATTTCTTTCCAATATAAACCCTTTCTCCATTGTAAACACTGCATTTACATTAAAAGTAAGCTTGGCCTTTATACTGACTTGTCACTATATGTCTCATGAGTATAAATACCTAATGAGAAGGGACCATTTTCTTTCTTTTTATTGATTAAACTTTTTTCTTACATAGTTGTTCAATTTTGTGCAATATGTCAATATTTGATTTCTCCCCTCAGGTATAGTTCCCATAAATCTCCCACCACCACATCTGTGAATCATCACCACAGTCTGAGAAGGGATCATTTTCCATATTAAAAGGACCCATGTGGACAATGCCACATCCACCAATGAAGCCTGTCCTCTCTCAATTGTGAACACTAGAAAAGGGGCATTAAACATTTTCCCTAGACACAAGGGGATTGGTGATCTTATACTTGTTCCTACAGAACAGAAATAAAGAGTATGGCAACAAACTTGGTTCTTTCTTCGTATTCCTTGATAGCGAAGCAAGACACCTGCTCCCCAATAATGAAGAAGGCACGAGGAGTTGGGTAATGTACTACTGCTTTGTCTCAAAGGTTGAAGACACTGCCCACAAGTGAAATACAATCCAATGCAGCATGTTTTTGCAAAGGGGTTTTACCCACTTGTTTAAGTATTATCTGTGGCCGTTTTTTACAATAGTTGACTAGTTGCAACACAGACCACAAGGACTACATAAA